ATTTTGCACATCCTTTTCATGGAACAGCCTTGTTTTGAGTACTAAATCAATGAATCTTTACAAGACCCTCATGCGATTGTTGTTCTCATTTTGCAGTTAAGAAGACTGGTAAAAGAGATTGACTGGCCTTTTCAATGTGTGAACTCTAATATACAAGCCACGATCATTGTTTGTTGGAAGTAGTTGTATGGTGTTGATACTTCACAAAACTATCTCCTTGTGTGTAGTAGAAAGGGACTTATGGAAAGCGTGAACTGTTCATTTTGGGGAATATTATACTAATGAGATAAGGATCCTGGGCTTTGGGAAACACCACATTCTTCTTAGCTTTTGCTTATGTTTTAAGAAATGTCCTCTTCGTTCACCTTAGGATTTGTGAAGTTGATTTAGAATAGATCAGCTTGACAAGGTTGGGTTACGGCAATGATTTCCAAGGAGGGCAGGGACAGACCCTATAGGACATCTCAGAAATTACTGAGAATTTTTTGGTTACCTCAATGACTAAATAAGGAGAGGAATACTGCTGGCATCCATGGGGTTCAGGAAAGCTAGATATTCTACAAGGCAGAGGGCTTTCATGTAGCTGTGAAACCTACTTAAATTTAAGCATACACTTTTGTCCAGTTTTAGCTGAGGTTTTCTAGTAATACACCAAATTTACTAGAAGAGCAATTCTTTTTTAAACTGAGGGAATATTGTACTTTGCTTTGATTGGAATTTTACCAAGTTGTTCACTATTTTAGAAAATCCTCACTCTGCCTGTAGTATTTCAGTTACCAAGGCAACATACAGTATTAGTATACTATGTACCAGTTGTATTCACCATGACACCTCTTTGTCAGATGTTATTAGAGAAGTCTCACATATTTTTGGAATCTGGCTAAGGGAAAGTTGAATTGGGGATATATTTACTGGTATACATTTATATACCTGCAGTTATTTCCATCCACAGTTATGGTTGTCTATCCAGGAAACAGAGGACCTGTGTGAATACTGGCCTCCCGCCCAGTGATGTGATGTGAAGTTGCAGGGCCAGAGAACATAATATGATATGAATGTTACATATGGAGTCTATCCTTGAATGAGGTATTTAAGTAGTTCTGGAAGAAACAGAACTTAATATTGTAGGGGCCAAGGGCAGCCTGCCCCAAATTATGCCCCTTTGGCATATTGATTATTTGAAGTAAAAGTTACTTAGAAAACAGCCAGTATAAAGACATTCAAACCTCCTCTGTCCCCCTGAAAGCAGGAAATAAATCTCTCATGTGAAAAATACCCTCCCTGGGAATGCAAGCTTGTGCAGCCACTCTGGAAAACAGTATGGAGGTCCCTCAAAAAACTAAAAATAGAACTACCCTATGATCCAGCAATTGCACTACTAGGTATTAACCAAGGATACAGGTGTGCTGTTTCAAAGGGACACATGCACCCCCATGTTTATAGCAGCACTATCAATAATAGCCAAAGTATGGAAAGGGCCCAAATGTCCATCGATGGATGAATGGACAAAGAAGAGATGGTATATATATACAATGGAGTATTACTCAACAATCAAAAAGAATGAAATCTTGCCATTTGCAACTATGTGGATGGAACTGGAGGGTATTATGCTAAGTGAAATTAGTCAGAGAAAGACAAATATCATATGACTTCACTCATATGAGGACTTTAAGAGACAAAACAAATGAACATAAGGGAAGGAAAACAAAAATAATATAAAAACAGGGAGAGGGACAAAACATAAGAGACTCTTAAATATGGAGAACAAACAGAAGGTTACTGGAGGGGGTACCGGAGGGGGGATCCGGGCTAAATGGGTAAGAGGCATTAAGGAATCTGCTCCTGAAATCATTGTTGCACTATATGCTAATTTGGATGTAAATTAAAAAAATTTTTTTTTAAATCAAACAGAGACAATCAGATGCAGAGATAATAAAGACTGTTCTTTCCAAAATCAAAAAAGAAAGAAAGAAAGAAAGAAAGAAAGAAAGAAAGAAAGAAAGAAAGAAAAATACTCTCCCTATGCTAACAAGTAAAACGGCATCCTTATCACTAGAGATGAAGACTTTAAAGCTGATAAAGCTGTGGAAATAAACCTTGTTACTTTTTATTCTAAATTTCTACCTTAGCTGGAATTCCATTTAGAATTTCTTACTAAAAGCTCCCAAACGTCTATTTTCTTTATCCTGTCAATTTCTTATAAACGTATTGTCTTTTGGTCTACAGTGTATAAACTCTGCCTGCCTTGGTCATTTCCTTAGGCTTCAATTTCAGTATTGGGCCTCCATGTACACTTAGTATAACTTTGGATTTTTTTCCTGTTAATTTGTCTCGTGTCAGTTTAATTCCTAAACCAGGGAGAATAATGCTCGGAAGTGGGATAAAGAAGGAAATTTCTTCCTCCTCAACAATACATACAAGCCAGAAGTTAGTCTATGATATCATATAGACATGTCAGAGTGTTAATTAATAGAAATATTATGTTATTTTTCTGGATTTTGTGATGCTTGTGGTAGTTGTCAGCTTTTTAAAATTGGTAATTTGCAAAAAATTAAAGATAGATAAAATATAAAATTCATAATTTGTTACTACTTGTCCATTCTAATTAAATGTCTACTTTCATGCCCACTTTTATATTCATAATTTTGTATTTTTTAAACTTTATATTTGGTCAAAATGTCATCATAATATTTATACAGGCCAATCTCTACTCAACACAGAAATTATACTTTATTTCTTCCTTTTTTGTAGGTTTATATTGTATTACTTAGCAAATTATAAGGACAGGAAAGATAGTATAATAAACTTACTCTTCCTGCCATATCATAGTCAATGACATTTTAAAAAACATTTGTTGAATGCCGATTCTGTGTAGGCATTATTCTAGGAGATATCTCATTTAATCCCTAAACAAAAATTTGCAAAGTCTCTCAAATGGGGTCTTAGGACCGCTTCACACTCTTTTTTTCCCTATAATTTTTTTCTAGTTTTGTTGAAAAATAATTGACATACATTACTGTATAAGTTTAAGGCATACAATGGTTTGATTTACATATGCTGTGAAATGATTACCATAATAGGTTCAGCTAACATCCATCCTCTCATAAATACAACAAAAAGAAAGAAGAAAAGAAAAAAGAAAAAAAAATTCTCCTTAAGGTAAGAAAGATCGTATATCTTTTGCTATTAATTTTTTGGCTTATTTTTTAAATTCCACATGTAAGTGACATTGTTTAAAAAAATTTTTTTTTAATGTTTATTTATTTTTGAGAGAGACAGGGCATGAGCGGGGGAGGGGCAGAGAGCGAGGGAGACGCAGAATCTGAAGCAGGCTCCAGGCTCTGAGCTGCCAGCACAGAGCCTTATGTGGGCTTGAACTCATGAACTGCAAGAACTTGACCTGAGCTGACTTAACCGACTGAGCCACCCAGGTGCCCCTAAGTGACATATTCTTAAAGAGAACCTCCAAGATTGAGTGTTTCAGGCCCCATAAAACATACCTCCTCCCAAATAAAAGTTTATCAGAGGATTCTCCTAATTTTGTCTCTACCACCTCGTCTCCACTGCACCCTGCCTCACTGCTAGTTAGCCATTTCATTAATTTCTGATTTCCTCTGTGATTTTTGCAAAATTAAGCAAATATGAATACACACATATATGTATTCTTATTTAACCTTTTATTTTACACCAAAGGCGGCATGCTTGTGTTCATTATTCTTATGCAAACAAAAATTCTTTAAGTTGTCAAGTATATCATTTTCACTTGATTTTCTGGATTTTTAGTAATAGTCATCAAAGACTTTTTCCATTTTTGGGTTATAAAGAAATTGTCAATATTTTCTTCTAGTACTTTTAGTTTTCAATTTTTAATTTGATATAAACCATAAAGTACATGTCCAATTTTATCTATTTTCAAGTGGCTGTCTGATTGTCCTAACACCATTTATTAAAAAGTCCACCCCTTCCCCCAGTGACTGAGATGCCATCTTAAGCATACACTAACGTTTGTATGTACTTGGCTCTATTTGTAGATAAATTCTGAACTTGCTGCTCCATTGACCTACTTGCCTATTCATGCACCAATAGCACACTATTTTAATATCTGATAGGGGCTAGCTGTCCCCTCAGTCTACCATTCTTGCTGTTTATTTCATCATAAAAACTTTTGAGAATCAACCTGTCTAGCCTCAGAAAATAATTGGTTTTTAAAATTAAGATAGTGTTAAATTTTACACATGAACTTGGAGAAAATGGACATCTCTGTATAGCAATGTTTTTGCATATTAGCAACACCTGAGTATCTTGAAGAAAATACCAGTTCCTGGTTTCTTCTCCAGGAATTTAATTTGACTGGGGATGGACCCCCAAATAGTTGCAATGTTTGAAGACTCCCAGGTGGTTCTAATGAACAGCCAAAGTTGGGAGTCATACGCCTAGTCCACAGGTATGTGGATACACATTATTTGTGTCTGTTTGGTTGCCGAGAGGCAGCAAGTTAGTCCAGGTGTCCCAAAAGGGCTATTGCTTTCTTAACTCAAATTGTGAGTGCTGTGTAGGCAGAACTCTGGAGCCCAGCACCTGCATTTTACAATAAGATTCTGCTGATACCGGGTTAAGCACTTTTGCAAATTTGTACCACGCTTAACCAGGTGAAATGACTTTCACCTTTCTGTTTTTGTCTCTTGTGATCACTGCTCTATCCACAGAGCCTAGAATAGTTCCTGGTACATAGCAGGCTCTCGATAAATACGTGCCATATGAATTAATTGCATAGTCCTGCGCTGAAATGACAGCCAGTGAATACCGGACGACCCTGCATCATTTTTAATTCTAACATCGGATCACTGAAACACATTTCTATTTCTGACTGAAAAAGCCATGACCTCTTTTATAATGACTGGGTCTGCGGCAATATATAGCGCATACCTCGAATTAACCTCCTCCATCCACCCCCAACTCTCCAAAGATGAAAACCTGCCCTAATAAGGTAGCACCGAAACCTGGTTCCGGGTCACGTGAAGCGAGTGGCACCGGCAGACAGAAGGCAGACCCTCCCTCGCTCCTGCGCACAGCTTCTGCGCCGGTTTCTTGAGGAGCGTACGCAGGCCCAGAGGCCTCGCTTACACCCTGGCTCCGCCCAGCTCACTCCTAGGGGGCGGGACGAAGGGCGGCGGTGGGGGAAGAGGCTGGGCGGTGGCTGCGCGCGTGCGCCGAAAAGAGCTGAGGGGCAGGCGCACCGTGGCGGGCCTGGCTTAAGCGATTTCAGACAAGATGCAGGTAAAGAACCTGGGGGGCCGAGTCCTGAAGACTGTCGCAGTTCGTTTGCCCCGCGTGTCATCGGCGGACCGTCCGGGCTGGGACTGTGGGAAGCGCTTGGGCGCCACCGACGCCGGGGAGGTCACACGAGTCTAGGCCCGGCGCACGCGCAGTGCGAGAGGGCGGGCGTGGTCCCTTCGAGGAACTGCGGGCTGGGCCTCCACACTCCCGCAGTTGTAACCCCTCCAAATCTCAGTCTTTGGGGGCTCTCTCTTCTTGAGGTCAGATCCTGCAAAGCCTGTGAAGGACTCGTCGCATCCCACCTGGCAGGGTTACTTCCTATTTGTTAATTTCCGTAGCACCTGAGCGGCGGTGTTATAGGCTCCTTGTGTGGATGTGGAAGCTGAGGCTCTGAGAAGGGAAGGGGCCGACCTGGAGGTCCGGTAACTTGAAACAGTGGCGGAACCTGTGTTCCTGAAACCACTTAGAGCTGGTTGAGTGGATAGTTACATCCTCTTTCTCCCTAATGTTGGTGTTTAGGTTGAAGTGTGCTCCCTTTCAGATTCCCTGGCTTTCAGAGCTCAGCCCTGGGGTCTCTCTCTTCAGTCATAAAATAGAGTCAAATTGGCCTCCTTTCCCCCCCGTATCTGGAATTTTCTAATGAAATTGGCCTAAAACTTAAAGTGAAAGAAAATGAAGCCGCCTAGCATCAGGCTCTCCTGATTGTATTGCAGTCACTAAGAACTTTGAGATACTCCGTATCTCTGCTCTTGGGCCGTTTGCACATGCTGGTCCCTCTGCCTGGAAAGTAATTTCTTACTTGCCTATCCAGTGGAATGCAGACCTCTTGCAACCCTCTAGGTCAGCAGCCTGTTGATCATTGCACTTGCCACAATGTGTAATATATATATCTGTATATTTATTTGTTTATTGCCTGCCTCTTTCTCTCAACTGTAAAATAGGTGACACCATCCTTCCCTACTATGTATTACAATAATTTACATATAGTGGGTACTTAATACCTGTTGAATGAATCACTCCAAGTCAGTAATTAAATTACTGAAAAACCATCTCAGCCTTGGTACAGCATTGATACTGATCTGTGCATCATATCCTGATATTTACCCAAGACTAATTCCTGGGTGTGTATGTTTAGGGGGGTGCAGAGTGAAGGTGCAGTGAAGGACAGGAAAAAGAACAGGGGCTGTGGGTCATGTGACACTTTCTCAGAAATAGGTCACAGTATAATTTGGTTTGAATTCCTCTTCCCTCCACCTTTCGCATTCGACCCTTTCCTCAGTATGACACCCTCCATGGTGGACTTTGCACTCATGGTATCCTTGGTCCACTTGCACTAGGACCCCAATGCAGACACTGAGTGGAATGACATCTTACGCAAAAAGGGCATCTTGCCCTCAAAGGAAAGTTTGAAAGACCTGGAAAAGGAGGCAGAAGAGGAGGAACAGCGTGTCCTTCAGCAGTCAGTTGGTGAGCTTGCTTACATTCATTTTTGTTCTGTCTCTCTCTGGGGTAAGAAACAACTTTCTAGGTCTCTAAGTGGTTTGGTGGAAGGATGCTCTGAGCAGGAATTGGGAGCCAGAGATTGGAGTGCTGGAATGCGCACTAACTCTGGGACCTCAGGCGAGTCATAGGCTTTCTCTAACCTTCAACTTCCTGGGCTTTAGAAATGGGACTTCAGAGGCCTCCTTCATTTCCATAATTTCTTGTCTGTGTCAGATGGGCACATGATAAACCTGAAGAAAATACTTGAGTTGTACTTTTTGTCCCATTGATCACAGGGGCTAGTACTTCTGTCTTCTGTTTATACATTAGAGCTAATTTAGAGATGGATTCATTAGAAAGCGTTTGTCCAGTGAATGTTTATTAAATGATCATCTGCCAGGTGTAATTCTAAACATTGGGGCTTTAGTTGTGTGCAGGCCAGACAAAAATCCCTGTCCTCATGGCACTCACATTCTATTGGGAGAGATAGACAATAAGCAATACATAAGTAAATATAGGAAAATAAAGCAGGGAAAGGCCTCAAAAGGGTGGGAGGAGGGGTGAGTGTAATTCTAGATAGGGTCAGAAAGAGCCTCAGTACGAATGACTTTGAGTAGACCTAAGAGTTGAATCAAGCTACTTCAGTAAGTGAAGAGCATGTTAGAGAATCATCTGGGAAGCCAATATGACTGGGAAAGAGTAGTAAGTTCAGAGAGGCAGCTAGGGGTCCAACCATTGAGGACCTTGTATCTTTTAATAAAGGCCTTGGCTTTTATGTCTAGTGGGGTGGGAATCACTAGAGGTTTGAACAGAGGATTGACATGTTGGCAGCACCCTCCTGCTGCTGCCTTACTGAGCATGCAAGATGGGCAGAAAGTCAGGAAGTAGTTTAGTATAGAAACTACTGCACTAATTCAGGCAGGAGGTATGATTGGCTTGGACCAGCCTGCATGGTGTTGGTGGAAGTGGTGAGAAGAGGTTGGATCTGGAAATAATTTGAAGGTAGGGCCAATAGGCTTTTCTGGTGGATCCTGTGAGGGGCGTGAGGAAAAGTAAGCGAAAGATGACTGCAGGGTGTTGGGCTTGAGCAGCCTGAGGGATGGAGTGACCACCAACTGAGATGAGGAAGGCTTGGTGAGTAGCAGTTTGGAGCTAGGATCAGGAGCTCTCTTTGGAACACAGTAACATTGAGATTTTTATTCGTCCAGTAGAGATGATAGGTAGGCTGTTGGCCATGTTTTTCTCCAAATCAGAGAAGTATGGGCTGGAGGCATAAAGTCATGAGTTGCAGTCACCAAGGGAGTGGGTATAGATAAAAAAAGGAGTCAAATCAGTAGAGGTTCAAAGGAAGGGCGGTCATAGAAAGAAGTAGGACGAGGGAAGGCATCCTGCAAGCCAGAGGAGGACCATCTTTCAAAGAGAAGGCAGTGGGGGGTTGGATTAATGCTGCTCATCCATCAGGAAGTGGAAGTCATTGTTGATCTTGATAAGAGCAATTTGTTTAGTGTTGGAGTTGGGGTTGGAGGATAAAAATCTAATTTGATGTCAAGAAGCAAGAATATGGCAGTAAAAACGAAATAGAGATTTTGTAGCAGTTGGTTAAAAGGAAAGAGAGCTGCCTACCTACCACTCACAAGAGAAGAACCAGAAGTCCTGTAATAATCCCTTTAACTCTAGGGAAGGTGTGCCAGGGAGGACACCCACTGGTATCCCCCATGTGCTCAGAGACAGAATTGTTAATACTCCAGGTCATGGGTGTGTGTGCTTGAAGAGCAGACCAGGTGAGTTTAGGCAAATACAACTCTCTTGTTTTATAAACTTGGGAAACTTCTCATTCATATCCCTACAATTGCATGGAGGTAGGAGAGTCAGTTCTGCTGCATATGTCAACATAGGCCTATCTTTTTTAAAACACACTTAAGTTCTTATTTACTAGTGTAATACCTTCAGTATTTTTTATTTTGGTTTTGCCGAGTGAGTTTTATTGGTGTTGCATGCACATCTTTAGGAGAAAAGAAAAGGAGGAAAAACAAAATGCAAGTTTGTTCATCTTTTAAATATTTTGGTTTTTGCTAACTTAACTACATTCAGTGAAAACATATGAAGATATGACTTTGGAAGAGCTGGAAGAAAATGAAGACGAGTTTAATGAGGAAGATGAACGTGCTATTGAAATGTACAGGTTAGTGCCACCCAGAGGGACTGTTTGTTTTTTTGTGTGGCACTAAAATGTGTGTCTTTTGAAAAGTTAACTTTCTGACCGAGATAACATTTGGAAAGGATTATATAATTAAATAGTAATTTGCAGATTTCAGTGAACTAGTCTTGGACATCTGCCATGTGGCAAATAAATAAACATGGATCTTTATAAAGGTTGCTGTGTGAAAGGTGTGTGGGACGTGTGGGCTGGATGTGTAAGATGTCTTTCTCCTCCTTCTGTGGTACAGGCAGCAAAGACTGGCTGAGTGGAAAGCAACTCAACTAAAGAATAAATTTGGAGAAGTTTTGGAGATCTCAGGAAAGGATTATGTTCAAGAAGTTACTAAAGCCGGTGAGGGCTTGTGGGTAATCTTGCACCTTTACAAACAAGGGTGAGCTGACCTTACGCACTATCCTTAAATGTTAATTTGAATTTATGCCTTGGATATCCCAGGCTTAATCCACATTGGAGGTTTTGTTTGTTTGTTTTTTAAACTAGTATTTTGTTTTTGCTGATTTGCCCAAACCTAATGCCTAATTTTTGTCTTTAGATTTTCAAATTAATATTTGTGACTAATAAGAATGCTTTTTATTACATCATAGCAATGAAGATTGTTTTTATTGAAAAGAATTCCTTATTTATCCTTCTAGAGAAACTCTGGCATTTCAAAATTGCATGTAGTGAATCATTCTCGTAGATGTCGGGGGTGACCTTTATAATAATTGTTCCAGGCAAGTGACGCAGTGGTGTTCCTCTGTGCCTCACTTCCAGCTGCATTCTCCTACTGTGTACTTGTGTAGAAATTTTTTGAAAAGCAGGAAATACTTTCTGACCTTTTTCACTCCTTCTGAATCTTGAATGTTCTCTCATATAGGTGGGCATAATAATAATCTTTTACATTGAAGCTGTTTTTTTGAGTTACTACTGAGTCAAATTAAATTGCATTTTAGATTTTGAGTTCTTTATTTTCCCTGAACTTATCAGAAAGGTTTTTTAAAAAATGTTTAATCATCTTGACTGGAGTAGCAGAATCATTTGTGAAGCTATTAGGGTTTACATAGGGTAGAAGGGTAGTTGAGCTTTGCCCAATATAAATGCAGAATCACAGTTGCTTCTATTTCTGTTTTATAGGTTTTCTCGCTCACTGTTGTTTCCCATTTCTAATTTACAGGATTCCCCTCTGTGCCCTCATAAATCAGCACTTCAGTGGACTTGCCAGGAAGTTTCCTGATGTCAAATTTATCAAAGCCATTTCAACAACCTGCATACCTAATTATCCTGATAGGAATCTGCCTACGATATTTGTTTACTTTGAAGGAGATATCAAGGCTCAATTTATTGGACCTCTGGTGTTTGGTGGCATGAACCTGACAATAGATGGTAAGGGCTTCTTTGAGGTGGTCTAGGGCATGTGAGCGATGACCAGTGCATGTTAGAGATGATGAGGGGATGTTTCTGTTGAACAGACATGTGTTAGATGATTTGTCAAAGTCATCTTTGCCCCTGTGTGTTGTCAAAAGGAAAGAAGCACATTTAATCTCTCATTAGATGAGTCACTGGGGGCAGTTACAACTGGGCTCTAATAATTCTATTAAAAGAGGACACAATGGACTTTAAAATATGTATATTTAATACTTATGTCTAATAGGTTTTATTTGCCCCTATAGTTGGGTATGTTTTAAGTTACAACTAAAGATCTCAGCATTCATTTTTTGTTTAATTCACATGAACATATTACTGGTATTTATACTTTTTTATACTGACATGCATAAAAATGTTTAAGAATATTTTCTCAGTTGAATGTCTTAGTGGCTTTTAAGTTAAATTAGAAGTTTATTGAATTCTGCCTCTTAACTCCTGAAGGATATATCCTTTTATTCCTGAAGGACGTGTCTTTTATTCCTTTCTACCTGTTACACGAGGTGTTGAACTATGTACATACTCATAGCATGAAAGAGAGAACCTGAGGCCCAAGGGTTTCCACCTAAGTCACTCATTGAAATAATGTGTCCACCTGTGCTTTAAAAAAAAACATTAGGGGTGCCTGGGTGGCAAATTGGGTTAAGCATCTGGCTTTAGCTCAGGTCATGATGATCTCACGTTTCATGGATTCAAGCCCTGTATCGGGCTCCATACTGGCAGTTCAGAGCCTGGAGCCTGCTTTGGATTCTGTGTCTCTCTCTCTGTCCCTCCTCTACTCGTGCTCTCTCTCTCTCAAAATAAATAAATAACATTAAAAAAAAAAATGTTCAAATGTGACTTTACATACTATTTTATGTAACTATTTTATGTAAGATACTTGTGAGATAAGTATAGCATGTGTACATACATACACACATTACATCAGTTATACATTATTCAAATCTTCAAAGGCATACAGCATTTCTAAATATTTCTAAACTATATGTTTTCATCTTATTCTTTTTTTTTTTTTTTTTAACGTTTATTCATTTTTTGGAGAGAGAGACAGAGCATGAGTGGAAGAGAGGCAGAGAGACAGGGAGACACAGAATCCGAAGCAGGCTCCAGGTTCTGGTTGTCAGCACAGAGCCAGACATGGGGCTTGAACCTATGAACCATAAGATCATGACCTGGGCTGAAGTTGGTTGCTCAACTGACTGAGCCACCCAGGTGCCCCTCTGGTGTTTTGAATCTTACCATGAGGGGACAGAGAGGGGTATATGATAGTAGTTACAGTCTTTATTTGTAGAAATAATTTGAGGATTAGTGAACTTATAATTATTGCATGGAAGTGAATGATAACATTAATACGTACACCTCAACATATATGTATGTATATATGTATAGGTGGATTTAAATATATTCTTGAGTCAAGAATCAGAATTAAGATTTTTTTTTGGGGGCGCCTGGGTGGCGCAGTCGGTTAAGCGTCCGACTTCAGCCAGGTCACGAACTCGCGGTCCGGGAGTTCGAGCCCCACGTCAGGCTCTGGGCTGATGGCTCAGCCTGGAGCCTGTTTCCGATTCTGTGTCTCCCTCTCTCTCTGCCCCTCCCCCGTTCATGCTCTGTCTCTCTCTGTCCCAAAAATAAATAAACGTTGAAAAGAAAAAAAAAAGTTAAAAGATTTTTTTTTTTAAGAAATTTGTTGAATTTTCATAACATTCAACTGAGGTACCTAGAAGTTGTAAACACTGGTGTTAATGATCTCCATGGAGCATTTTAAATTAATAATGACTTAAATAAAGTGGTTGTCGTCATATTTTAATGGAGTTATCTAATTGGCAGAGCATCACTTAAACCTATTTGCTGTTTGCTGTAGTCTCTCATGTAGTCCTTAGTTCTGCTTGGAGTCTTTTCTGCAAATGCAAAATGTGTCCCTTGATTTCACTTCACGAGGCCTCACATCCTTGTGGAGTTTCATTGATTACAAGAGAGTGAGGGGCACCTGGGTGGCTCAGTTGAGCGTCTGACTTGATTTTGGCTGAGGTTCTGATCTCATGGTTCACGAGATCGAGCCCTGTGTTGTGCTCTGCACTAACAGTGTGGAGCCTATTTGGGATTCTCTCTCCCTCTCTCTGCTCCTCCCCTGCTTGCATGGACATGTGCTCCCCTCTCTCCCAAAATAAATAAACAAGTGAAATACAGGAACTGAGGTTTTAGTCACTGATTTATTTTCTTGGTACTGCTTTTATTACTTCAGACAAATGTGTAAGTTCTGGGATGTCATCATACATTTATCCTTTGACTCTAGTAGACTGAGATGCCGGGCATGAGGCCTAAGAATTTCCTTTTGTTAACTAAAATTAGACTTAATGATTAGATTGCCAGAAGGACTGTGAAAAGTATTTCCTTTGAATGTTTCATGATGATTTCTTTCCTGGAAAACTGTGCAAGTTGAGAAGCGGTAGTCATTAGAAAACAGGTTTAGTCTTTGGTTTTTAATTACCATGTAGGTTCAAATACAGTAAAACCTTGGATTGCGAGTAAGTTATTCTGCAAGTGTTGTGCAAGATGAGCAAGGATTTCTAATAAATTTTAACTTGGTAAACGAGCAGTGTCTTGCAATATGAGTAGTACATGATGCTGAATGTCACACAATCAAACTGAGCCAGTGGTAGTTCTTTCTCTCTCTCTCTCAATCTGAGGGATTGTGGGTGATCATTTCAGATGCTTGGTCTCAGGACACACTGTTTAGCAGAAATCAGTGTTTTTTCAGAACCACAACTGGCACTAGTGTATTTTTTGTCACTTCAAAGCACCAACGAACTGTCCTTTGCTTTTCCATACACGAGTAAGCTTGGGAATGCTTTGTTTCATTCTAGGTCAGGCTGCCTGCAGATATAGACCCTTTCCTCTGCTGCTTTATTACCAGTTACATTAAATACGGTAGATGACAAGAGTTTATTAATAGTGTACTGTAGCCAACATCCATGCCAGCATATATAATGGTTCCCATGCAGAGAGTCCATTGAGCCAATAGATAGCAGTGATTCCATTAGTGATAGTGAAAGTCGTCCTATACATAACCCTCCTCTCTTGTCTCCTTCACATCAGCCACGAAGGTTTTGAAAGGTTAAGTGCAGGTTAATTTGTTTATTTTTCTTTATATTTTGTATTTTATTATTTTATATTACATTACAGTATTGTAATCATTTTTATATGAGTGTTTTTGCGTTGTGGAATGAATCATCTGAGTTTCCATTATTTCTTATGGGGAAATTAACTTTGATATACAAGTGATCTGGATTACAAGCATGTTTCTGGAATGAATTATGCTTGCAAACCAAGGTTTTACTGTGTATGTAATATCTCATTTGATCTCATCTTCTGAAAAAGCATTTGAAAGTATTTTGTTTTCCTCCTTAAGGGTCTGATTTTTTTTTCTTCTAGGCACCTTATAACTGTAGCACTAAAATTGTCATCAAATGTTGATGATCATAGTTTCTGCTTAGAAAAAAACTGGCTTGATGGGCTTGAGGACAAGGGTCTTGTGCTGACTGTCTTAGGTGATTTGGCTTTTCTTTGTCACGTAGAGTTGGAGTGGAAACTGTCAGAATCTGGAGCAATCAAGACAGATCTGGAGGAAAACCCTAAGAAACCAATTGAAGACACTTTGCTATCCTCGGTGCGGTGCTCTATCCCCACAAGAAGGAACAGTGATTCTGAGGATGACTAAGACTATGGCCTCGGTAATGTGCCAAACTTCCTTGATGTGACAGATCATCTGGATTTTCTGAAAAAGGTTAAAGTAGAAATGTGTTTGGCTTTTAGCCTTTTATAATTACGTTTCAAATCTCATAGATCTCAGAAATCATTACTGGGAATCCTATTACATTTCTTGGAACTCCCTTTTTAAATTAATAGCATTTCCTTAAAAAAATAAAAATAAAAACCAGCTGCTGGTATATGACAGACGTCTATGTTTTCCTCACTTGTATTTTAAGCTATAAAACTGTTCACTATTTGTCCACATTTAACTATATAAGAGGAAATGTGGAGTGTCTTTTAATAATGTGAGGAGGTTTTACAGTGGATAATTGCAAACTAAGTTTTGTAGTCACATTATCATTTATTTTTATTTTATAAGGCTAGCAATAGAATTATTAAAGGAATGATTGATAGGAAAAATCCTAGTATTTGTCCTATTTAGAAGAAATAGGCAATAATTTTTATAAAACGTTGTCCTATGAAAGCAATAACTAAATGATTCCAGTTTATTGCCATTTTTGCTTAAATTTTTTTTCTAGTTAAAATAATTTTTGTCTCAGACTGTTGAGATGTCAGTTAATCCCAATTACTGTAAAAGTCCACCTTAAATTCTTTTTTGTAAACAGATAATAAACACATAAAATGATAAACTGTATCTCAGTCAGTAAAAAAAATGGCAAGGTGTTTTCTGAACTAGAATCTTAGCACTTAACCCTTGTCAAATTGACATTAACAGAAAAATTAGGGGTAATATTTTTCTCTAATATTTGTGTTGAATGATGTAGTACTCAATGTAGGTTTGAATATTAAAAATATGAATTCTAGAGGGCCTGGACTTCCTTCAGATTATATTGCAAAATTTATTTTTGCTATAATTCAAAGAGTAACAACAGCTGTGACCCATTTTGATCTGTCAGAAGTGTCCGTGTTAGTGAATATTTATTTTTCTACACACATAAGAGCCAGTGCTGCTTTTAAAAATGTGTTCTATGTAACAATGTACTTTGAATGATTTTTCATGAAATTTTAATTGCAGGGTTGATATAAGCGTGGTCAGTTCTATCACTCACATGCCAGTTCCATGGGTTTTGTGGGAGAGCTGCCTTCTTGGATTTTCTATTGTTAGCTGACATTAAAATGAAATGCTGTGGGAAGAATAAAGGTGAAAAGCTTGAGTGCTGCATTTGCCTGAGCACTGCAACGCTCACAACTCTTGAGAGAACAGTGCTTGAGCATGGTGGGGGGTAATACCTACTGTGATGGAAAATAGCAGGCTTTATTCCGCTTTGGAGCCCATGCAGGATGTAGTTCTAGATACTCACTATGCCACTTTGATCTGTGGAAGTGTGAAAACTGCTTCATCATCTTCTTGCCTCCATGCCCGGCTAATGCTCTTAGTGGGAGCTCAAGGAGAGCTCAGGTGCCTCTGGAATTGGCTGATGAGTGCTGTCTGGCCACATGGCACCCAGGCCCCAGGCAGCTATTTAGTTATGCTGACTGAACTTGATTTAAACAGAGAAACATCTCTCTCCTAACATGAGTGTTGTGATTTAGAACGTGACCTGCAAATTTCTACAGGTTAGTTAATTTGGGGAGACTTTGCCGTAATATTTACCACTAATTTTCTGTTTCATGTGAGGCATTTGTGACATGACAGAGGGGATACAATTGGATCCTTAAGCATTGAGTTCATCTAATTCCACACAGGGAAAGCAAACAAGAAGGCTACCTAGAGGCTGTCTTTCAGTGTTCAGAGGAAGGGATTTTGGGAAAGGGTGTTAAGCAAGTGCTAGGTAGCCCTTTATTCAGTGGTAAGAAATGGTTCTGGAAAGTTGGGATGATAATTGGGAGAAGTGAAATGGAGTTAAGACTATATAATCAAATCAAATTGATTCTTCCTTATTTTCCTCATCTCTAGAGGAAGAAGAGGATGTGAATGAATTGTATATGCTTATCTCATTGCAAACCTAAATTTATATCCTCACTCCCCAAGGTTGCAGACCATTGCTTTGGCACATACCTGACACAGAGCTTCCGGGGTGGGTGGCTCAGAAGTACTTCAGAAAAGTTGTACTAGAGGTTGCCTGGGTGGCTCAGTCGGTTATGACTTCAGCTCAGGTCATGATCTCACAGTTCATGAGTTGGAGTCCTGCATCGGGTGAGCTCAAGCCCTGTTTCGGGTGAGCACAAGCCCCACTCCTGGTGAGCCCTGCTCTCTCTCTCTCTGCCCCTTGTGTGATTCTCTCTCTCTTCACCCTTGTTCACTTGCACCCTCTCTGTCTCTTAATTAAAAAAAACAAAAACAAAACCCTAGACATGAAAAGCACTTTTTGAGAGTTATGAAAGGAATGTTAAGAAGAGTGTCCTCTGTCATCAATGCCTAAATTGTTTTTGTCATTTATTACCTCCAGCTTTAAATTCAGTTTTCTTATGTAATGAGACCAGAAGTGACAAGTGCGAATAATCTCTCTCTATATTTTATATAAATATAAACATAACAGCATTTTTTATACTGTTTACATTCCCATAGCAGGTGGTCCAGGCTTTCTGCCTTCTGCATCCCCCTCCCACCACAATTCAGTGACCTCCACAGGAGACCTTGTCATTTGCATGCTACAAGGAATCCCCTTGGTTTCTAGTCTTAACCATCCCATACTTGCGCAGTGTCCTGTCTTCTCTTTCTGTTCCGTTTAGTCTCAAGTGAAGATGTGTCTAGTCTCCAAGTTTAAACCCTCCCTTTGTGCTTTTGACTGTATTCTCTCCCACGTTCTTAAGGACTTGTTCCAGCAGTAAATTACCGTCTTGATTTTAGTCTCTCCCTTGATGTGGAGCCTCACACAGTGAAAATGTTCAGGTTCTGTGGCAGAGACTGCTATTTGCCTATCAAGTATCCAGGAATCTCCAGTTCTACTCCAGCAGCAATGGGACCAGCCAAAAGATTAAACTTCCAGTCTCCTTGGAGCCATGGATTGCCAGATGGAGGTGGGGAAGTTGGCTTTACAAGCCTCTTCAGAGGGACAGATGATTGGCATGTGCCCTTTTTGGACTTAACCCTTTACTTTCTGACAGGAGTGTAGATATGGTTGAAGACTACTTGGGCTATAGGGCATCTTTATAGAGGAAAAGCTGTAAGGATAATATTCCTGATGACCTTGTGGAAACAGTATAATCCAGCTCTTGACTGCCTTCTCTGGACTTTGGTTACTGGGAAAGAAGTAACTTCCGTCTTGGTCTCTCTTAGGAGCAGCTGACACATTTCCTGATAATGTCACCTGGCCATCACCAAAGAAAACCTCAACCATTCTAGCTTTCTACTCACCACTTTCACCTTGCTTGATAAAACAGAAGAACAATCTAGATGCTCTACCTCTACTTTATCAATGTTGCCTTTCAGTGATGTCATGAATTAGACTTTAGGGACTTTGCATTTCCAGTGTGTGAAGTAGATACTCTGAATAACCTGATAATAACTCAAAATGTTGGATAATTTTTTTTAATGTTCTTAAATTGTTGCTGAACTGGCAAGAAAGGAAAGCATTCTCAGAGGTCAAAAGTAGTTTGAATTCTCATGTTACATGATGTCTAAAAACTTCTCAAAGCAAGTTCTTAAAGTCATCTTAAGCTGGTAATGCCCCTGAGCTCATGGCTAAAGCAACTGCATATCCACGCTGTAAGAACAGAGCTTTAATGTAGTCCTCAGACACTCTTTATAGATAAAGCTCCAAAGGAACGTGAGCTCATAGTCCTAAATCACAAACCCACAAAATCACGGGATGCCTCAAATAAGGTATCCTGAATGAGAGCCAGTGGGAAACAGATAGTACAGTCAGACCTGCAAAAACTTAGGATAGTGGAATTTTCAGATATAAGATATAAAATGAATATATTTAATATGTGTTTAATAAGAGTAAGGAATAAGAATTCTTTATATAAAAATAAATCCCTTGTCAACCTATGGAAGAGAGAACGAACCAGAAAATAGAGCCAAATGATTACTCAGTAGATAACACACAAAGATAAATAGATAGAAATATAAAAATTAGGAAAGCAATGTGGAGGAGAGACTGAGAAGTTCTAGCATAATCTTAAAAAGAGTTTTAGAAAGAATTGGAAATTGGTAATATTTGAGAAGATAAAGACATTTTCTAGAACCAATGAAAGACATGAGCCTTCAGATTCAGAAAGCTGTATAAGTCCTAAGCGAGTTACAGACTGTGTGTGTGTGTGTGTGTAAAACTGCAGAATGTTGAATTTGTGCAAGTAGTCAGAAAAGTCATTACCCAAAACAGAGTAATGGTAGGGCTTACTGACTTCTCAGCAGCAAGGAAAGCCAGAAAGATGGCCCGTATCAGTGGTTGAAGAAAAACAAAAACTACTAACCAAGAATCAATACCCAGTGAATCTATATTTTTGGAAGTAAGGATTAATAGACATTTCCAATAGAATGAGTAGTTTTGTCATCAGTAGACTCTCAGTTTAGAAGATGAGTGATGCAGAAGGACCACCATCTGTTGAAAGGTCTGAAGTTCAAGAAAGGATCGTGACCAAAAAAATATGGGTAAATCTGAATGAACATTGACTTACAACAGTACAAATAATGCCTTATTTGTGATATTAAAAGCAAGATGGATCTAAAAAACAAGACAAAAGAGGGTTCACGTTGAAGGCTTAATTGGAGTTCAAATGTTCTTAGACCCTTAAAAAGTAGATTTAGGAGGTTGGCAAAGATACACATGTAAGAAATATTTCATTCAAGGTAACAATAAAAGAAAATGAGTGTGTAACTTTTAAAGTAGTGGGGGCATGGAGGGTGGGAACCTCTTAATTTAAAAGAAGACCAAAAACAAAACAAAAAACCAAAAGGCAAAACCATAGGAAGTCCAAAATGCTGGAAACCTAACACAGTAATCACAATAAATGCAAATGAACTATAATAGTCTTATCCAGAAGTCATGCTTGTAGGTACTTAACCAACTGATGTGAAACATATGCATACAGAGACCTGCACACAGATGTTGCTAACAGCTAATTTATAATCACCAAAACAACCAAAATGTCTATCAATAGATGAATGGATAAACCAACTGTGCTATGTTGACAGAATGGAATGTTCAGCATTACAAAGAAATGAGCGATCAAGCCACAGAAAACATGGATGCTAACTGAATTAAACCATTCTGAAAAAGCTGTATACTATATTATTCCCATTATATGTCATTCTGGAGAAGGTGGAGCTATGGAGAGGCTAAAAAGAGGTTGCCAGAGGATTGAGGGAGGGTGGAAGGGTGAAATAGGTAAAGCACATGGAATTTTTAGGGCAGTGAAACTATTCTGAATGATACAATAATGGTGAAGATAGGACAATATGCCAAAGCTCATAAACCTTATAGTACAGAGAGTGAGTCTTAATGTATGCATATTTAAAAATTTCATTTAGAGAGGAGATCCCTGGATGGAATCCAGGATGTGATAAAATAATCTAACTGTATTACAAATGTGTGAAACCACCTAATAGAAGAGGTTTCAAGGGAAGGGTTCTGATCTAAGTAACCTTGGAAATGAATCTGTAAGGTGAAAGGCAAAAGAATCTGTATAAGCACTGTACTCTAGTTGATAGTTATTTCTCACAGTAGTACGGGTTAATAATTCTGTTAGTGCTAGACTATGTACTAGGTTTGAACAATTAAATGAATAGCAGATGGCAAGAGTCCAGTTTCACTGCTCAACTGTGGGGTTACAGATAGCAAGGAGAGGAGGTTAAAATGATCTATGGCGTAATGGATTCGAGTTGCAGACATTGGTATAAACTGTTTCACTTAATAAAGATACAGATGATTATATATTTAGATAGTGAACATACATAGGCTAGTAAACACATTTTTTTCATTGTTCTATCAGCTAAGGTGACCCTAAAAGCAATGACACTCTAGTATCAAAGACCACACCTGGCCTGTAGATACTGGCTTCTAATACTGTTCTCCAAAAAAAGGAGCTAGGGCTCTAGAGAAATGGCTGATTCTAAAACTGGAGCAGGAAATATACAAGATTAGCCTGAAGCATCTTGTAGCACCAGAAAGGAAAGAAATGTTAAAACAAAAACAAAAAACTCACAATGATAAGAATATGTCAAAAGGATGAAGGAGGCAACTAAAAGATCTAGTGGCTAAAGCTGGAACCCTTTGAGCAACAAAATAAATAATGTATTATAACCCAAAGTATAATCCATGAGTCCATGCTGATAAATGATTGAGTAGATAAATAATTGGAGAAGAAACCATCTCTCATTCAGAATCCTAAATAATTTATGTAGATACTCTGGACTTAAGAGATTCCACCTTTAAGCGTGGGTTGCATGTAATGATTTCCTTCCAAAGTTTATAATGTGGAAAGGTGGCTGGGAAGAGTAACTTTGCAGTACAGAGACCTGACAAACTGTCTCAGGCAGGTGATCATGGTCAAAGTCAACAGTGGTAAGTCATTTATTAGTATGGACCCTGGATATGATGTCATGAAAATAATACTTCACCTCTTTGGTCTTCTTTACAAACATCTGACAAATCCCAATTGAGGAGCATTCTACAAAACAGCTTACCAGAACTCAAAATTGTCAAGGTTATTAAAAACAAGAAAAATGCGAAAAGCTGTGACAGCCAAGAGGTGCCTATGGAAACAGGACGATGTAATGTGTCCTGGATGAGATCCTAGAACAGGAAAAGAATAGTAGCTAAAAACAGAAGAATTCTGAATAAAGTGTAGACTTCATCAATGATTATGCATGATAATATTGATTTGGTAATTGTAACAAATGTACCATACTATTGTAAAATGTAATGGGGAAACTGGGTATGGGGTATATGGTAAATCTGTACTATATTCTTAATTTTTCTGTAAATTTAAAACTGTACCCAAAAAATAAAGTTTATTTTAAAAATATGGTGGCAAAATGGAAATTGTAACCAAGAAAGGTGGTTTTCAGTTCTTGACTGTCATATGTCTGTAATAAAAGGCACAAGTCTTAGTTTGGATCTATCCAAATGCAGAGCCTGAGCCAAGGACTTGGGTGCAGAGTTTGAGAGGCGATTCCAGGGAGCAGGAGGGAGGGAGCTGAGAGAGAGTGGCAGGGAAGGGAAAAGGCAAGTATAAGGCTGAGACAGGTCAGTGCCATAGGTAGACAGTAGGAACTCAATCCCTTTAGGACTTTGAAGCAGCACAGTCTATCCACTGACAAAAGCCTGAGTTAATTATTTACCAGTCCTGCCCTCCAACCCTCAAAGGCTGCTTCCAGAGGAGTTCACTCCCCTGCACTTCTGGTCATGCTTGCACAAAGACTGAGCAAATGTCTGTGCCTGGGAGAAAAACTTGGGCAGACAGATACAGTGTGGCCTTTTAGGTGGGATGCTGGTGGTACAAGGTGAGTCTGAACTTGCATGGAAATTAGTCCTATTTTATATATTTGAAAGAACTTAGACATTCAAAAATAAATTCTTGTTGGATATCACTCTGCTGCATACGTAAGAAGGGAAATAGAAGCAAACACATTGGTTAAGACATTCCTAAAATGGGCTCTTAAGAGTGCAACTCTGACACCATCTTCTGCTAGGTTTGATGCTGGCACTTCTTGATCCAGCCAGAAGGTGGCGAGCAGTAACAGTGTTGTTCCCCCAGGCCAACAGCGACTGCAAGATGCACCCTGACCTCAGGGATGTTAAAATGAGGGGAAACGTGTTTAGCATTGGTCAAATGAGGTATCTCACAGTGGCTTATTTTAACTTGACCATTCTAGCTCATTTCTGTTTATTGACGTTTAAAATACTGAAAATACAAGCTTCCTAATAGGAAAAATGCTGCTACTGTTCCTTACCTACTTATTAAAATGGCTACAGTTTTGTTTTTAAATTAAAAAAACAATACTGTTGGGGCACCTTGGTGGCTCAATCGGTTAAGTGTTCGACTCTTCTGCTCAGGTCATGATCTCACAGTTCGTGGGTTCAAGCCCTGCCTTGGTCTCTTTGCTGACAGCAGGGAGCCTGCTTGGGAATCACTCTCTCCTTCTGTCTCTGCCCCACTTTCTCTCTCTCTCTCAAGATAAATAAACTTAAAACCCAATACTTTTTGTAAGATGGTGATGAAAAATTTTAAAGATATTTAAAAATGCATATATATTTCATAAAGAGTTGTAGTTAGTAATAATCCTTTGCCTTTTAGCAAATGTTATAGAAAAGAATAACTTGCGACTTTTTGTTTTATCCTGGGGTTTGAGATATCCAAGTGAAATAGTACAATCCAAGTGAAATAGTACAATAAACACACGCCCACTAATGCACGCTGTACTTGGACTATACTGTAATTGCAGTAACTAAATCAAAGAGCAGATTAGTGAGCCCCAGGTTGTCCCCCTTACTGACTCTGGGTCCCAAAGGCTTTCTATTTTGGTTTCCCAATGTTACTGGGGAGAAAATGTGAGAAGTTCAGTACACTTGGCAGTTATGTTTTGTAGTGTAAATTAATACAGTTCCCAAACCGCACTGAGGTGCCCCAGTTTCCCACAGCAAGGTCACAGGAATGGGATATTCTGTTTTCAAGGGAAACACAGCCATGCTGCAATTTATCAAACACTGCAGGAAATACCAGCTCCAAGTAGTCACATTAAGTGTTAGCTTGCACTACATTCCTTTTGATGATGTCATATCTTTCCAAAGCAGGGTTTTTGGCAGTTGGTGTGATAAAAGCAGGTACAGCTCAAAAATCAACATGGAGCAGGGAATGAAGGTGACAGTGTCTGATCAAATTTCAAGGTTGGAGAAAGTGCAGAGCCCAACAGGCACTCACATCACATTAGTAATTAATGAAGTAAGTATATTTTCATTCAATTTTCAAATTTTTTCAAACAGCTAAAAGTTTTTAGAACATAAATTCTCATTGTTTGGCCCTAAGTAATTCATAAAATAAATGATTAGATCTTTCTTTCTTTCTTTTTTTAAAGTTTATTTGAGAGAGCATGAGTGTGCATGAGCAGGGGAGGGACAGAGAGAGAGGGAGAGAGAGAATCCTAAGCAGGCCCCAGGGCAGAGACAGATGCAAGGCTCAATCATGAGATCATGACCTGAGCTGAAACTAAGAGTCAGAAGCTTAACCAGCTGAGCCACCCAGGTGCCCCAATGTTTCCTCTTTTTCTTAGGAGCACAATGAAAAAATTACTAAGCCATGAACCAGTGGAAGTTTAGGAATCTCCATTAATAAATTGGTATTCTGGTTTGTAACTGAAAGTGAAATTACGTTGATTCAAATCCATCCTTCAGACTTGATTACCCCAGAGTCAACTCAACACAGGATATTCTTGACTATGTCAGGCTGAGTACTACACCCTAAAACCTGGGTGACTCCCAATTACTCCCCAAAGGACCAATCTTCATGGGGCAGACAACTTTCTCTTTATCATCACCTGCAGCAGAGCTGGTAGCTTGTCATGTTGTCAGTAGAGTGTGCTTAACCTCCCTGTGCCTTGGGTTTTCTCCCTTGTAAAAAGGATCCAACAAATACGGTTATCTTGAGGATTAAATGGACTAAGATTTATAAAGTACTTAGCACAGTTTGTTGAGGTTTTATTGTTGTAGATGTAGTAATAATAGTAGTTATCAGTGATGTCATTATGGTCATCCTCACCAGCATCCTGTTTTTTTGAAAGCATTTAGGGTTTGGCATCCTGATAAATTTGCTCATTTGAGATTGATTGATAGGCCTTAATACTTGCAATTCTAAACTGGGCCTCCCATGACTCGGAAACTCTTAGGGTAAAGTTTGTCAGTGCAATTTGGGAAGAACTTGAAATTCTATCTTTTGACCTTTGGGGAACTTTGGGAAATTTGCTTCCCTTTTACATTTCCACCATTACATAATCCTCCTTGTAGAGTCTATTTTTTTTCTGCGCACTTTTACATTTTTTTAGTGTGTTAAGTAATACCTCTCTCACTCTAGGTGATCATTTATTTTCTTGGCGTCCTAGCAAATAAAAGTCTCAGTATAAAGCATAAGAGGATTTTATATGCTTACAGTGTGATATTTGTCACTTCCCAAGACAACTTTCCTCCATGTAGATTAAATGCTGTCTTTTGGACTGACTTTTCTCTATCAAGTCTCTACTGCATATTGGTTGATTGGGTTATCTCATACTATTCATCAGCCCTTTTGATGGATGTGCCCTCTAAATTACAGGAATGGCATTAACACGAGGAGTTTTGAGCCACGTCAGGCCATGTACTGGGTTATGTAGCATTTAGGCCATTCCTCTTCCCTTTTGGGATTCTAAAATGTGAATTCTTTTAGAATAATGTACAGCTCATAGCAGCACAGAACCATGTTCAGAGACGACAGGATGAAGATCACTGGGGTTGAAGGCACATTCTCCGTTTTTCATTGTGTTAGAGTGAGTATGAGAGAGAAAATAGAATCAAACAGGAATAGGACATGAAGCAGAGTGAAAGTGCTCTGAACTTGAGTACTCCCTCCCAGACGTCTTGTTTAATCTGTCCCAGCTTGCCACAGCAGATCCTGCTGCTAATATTCCTGGCAGTGAGAGGTCTTGGGAGAATGAACATCAGTGTTAGTGGGTACATTTGTATGCTGGTCAGTGAATAGTGGAGGAATGGGGGAATCTCTTTGAAATGAATTGTGAGGTGTATAGGATCTGCCACTAATGATTTTGTAACATGCTGTGGCTTACATCAAACAGGTGCTATACCAGCCTTCTCCTAGTGTCCGCTTGTATCTGTGACCTCCTGTAGGTCTTACCCTAAACCCAATAGGTGCATAGTTTAAGGAAAGCAAAAAGGAAAGGAGAGAGGATGGAGAAGGAGAGAGGGAAGGAGGAAAGGAAAGTTGAAAGAGAGGGGTGGAAAGAGAGGGAGGGAGGGAATGGAGGGAAGAATCAGTGATGTTTGCTGGAAATTACTTTTTAAAAAGTTTTTAAAAGTTTGTTTATTTTGAAAGAGAGAGAGAGAGAGAAAGTGGAAAGGGGCAGAGAGAGAGAGGGAGAGAGAGCTCCAAGCAGGCTCCATGCTGTCAGTTCAGAGCTTGATTGGGGCTCAGACTCACAAACCATGAGATCATGACCTGAGCAGAAACGAAGAATAGGACATTTAACCAAATGAGCCATCTGGGCGCCCGTCTGGCAATTACATAAGTAGCAAATAAAATAGTAGGTGGGTAAGAAGCTAGGGCTTTTTACTCAGGGCTTTTATTTGTTTGGAAAGGATCAACCAAAGGAAATGTTTTGTTCATTTTTGATTGATACCTAGAATAGAGGAGACATCTACGTAGCATTTTTGAATGATCTAATGGCACCACAATCAGAGTTTGACCCTGTGGTTTTAGGAAAAACTTTTAAATGGCAGAAGTGAAGTTTAAGAAAGAGTTTCTGCTAAAAGACCACAAAACATTATCCTTTATTGATCAGGATTTGCTAGTGGGTGTGCATAAATGTTAAATGTTTACAGAAGCAAACAAAGCCAACACTTAAGAGCTCCTGAGGGCTCTTGAAGGCCACTGTCATGCAGCGTCCTCTTTTGGAGACAGCAGGCCTGCTGAGTAAGCACACAAGAACTCGAGGAACTCAACATGTACCCAAACAAAATGACTGCTAAGCAAGGGCTTGCAGGTCAGGAGGCAATCTCAAGCTGCATGCGTGGCCGCAGCAATGTAAATTAGCCCCTGCCTGGAGCCTGGGAAAAATCAGGTCAGGACCAGGAGTCACCATGAGGCTGGTCTGAAAGGTGCATAATGAACTTGCCCTTTTCTTGGGAGAAAGCATCTTTCTATTAGTGTTTTCTTGAGGTGTGCAATATAGGTGGGTTTCCCTGGAGTGTCTGATCATATCTTAGCAAGGCAAGGAAGGTAGAAAGGAAAAAAGGATGCTGAGTGGATGCTGGGGCCTAGGTAGAGTTGTTACATAAAGTTTAGTACCAAAGATTTGGACAGAACCTAAGTACCTACTAAGTGGTCTAAGAGTATGCATTCTAGAGATAGATCATTTCAATTTGAACGCTACTTGGTAGCTGTGCAACTTTGGGCAAGTTACTTAATTTTTCTGAGCTTCAGTTGCCTCAACTGTAAAACATAGACAATAATAGTATAGGCCTCACAGAGCTATGATGAAGGTAAATATAAAGCAAATTAGTATTAGTATCTTGTTTAAGACAGGGCCTTCACACACAGTAAGCACTATGTCAGTGTTTACATCTGAACTCCTACATCTGATATGGAGTTCCAGTTACTACTGCTGCCCACAGACCCACCACAAATCTAGTGACATAAGCAACCACCCTTTTATTGTGCTCACAAATTCCATGATCAAGACCCAGTGGTCATGGCTTGCCTTTGCTCCACAGTGCTGATCAGTGAGGAAGACTCAAGATGCTAGGAGGGATTCCGGTGATTGGAGCTTCTGCACTGCCATGTCTGGGGCCAGGCTTGAAGCACCTACTTGTGTCTTGGTCATAACCCAGCTTTGTACATCCTGATAGCTGGGTTCTGAGATGGAGTGTCCCAAGAGCATGTGAAGACAGCTAGCAAGAAGCCATGTAGCCTTTTGTGACCTAGCCCCAGACATCACAGAGAGTCACTCCCACCACAATGTGGGGTTACAGAATTAAGGGGAGCTGACATAGACTTCACCTCTCCATGGTATATGATGGGACAGGAGAACCTCAACTGCCCCATCAACTCTGGTAGTCCCAAGTGCATTGCTCGAGTGGGCAGAACTCACCTGGGACTCTTCCAGAGGAGCAGAAACCCTGGGTTGACTTTTGTCATTCCCACTGGGTGGGCTTGACTGATGGAATCTAAGAATCAGTGCCCCTTTTCATAACAATTGTGGTGCAGGACTCTGAAGTGATTTGCGAGGCCAAAAAGCTGGGATCAGAACCTTGTTCTCCCTTTCCTGCCTTCCAGCACAGTGGCTGATATATCCCATTACCTGAATTTGGTGCTGAGTTGCTATTCTTACCCCACTGAGGTTGCCTGTGCTCCATTGTTTTAATTACAGGCTGTTATTTCATTTGAAAAATCAGCGATAGGATTAAGGGTACTGTCATTTTAAAAGCTAGACTCCTGGCCTGAAAACTCGTCAGTGAATCAGAGGACAAATGTTCCCATTGTGCTGGTTAAAAATAGGAGCTATGGAAAAAGTGACAGAATGAGATGAATGCCATTAAAGTGTAATTACATTTACTGTAAATGTGAGCCTTGGGAAGAGCCTGTTCCAGGCAGAGAAGCTTTACCCGATCCTGTGACTTGGAAAACCCAAGGCCTCTGCTCACAACTGCTTTTATGTTTTGAATTTTTATAGTGTATATTGTTATGGATTGTACTGTCCGTTACCCTTGTTAGGGGTATCAGAAAGAACTATGTTACTCCAAAAGAAAGTAAGAACCATACAGTTCATCTTGAGTCTTAGAATGTAGGTTTTCCATTGTTCTCATAAGGCAATGCTTCTATCAATCTATATACTTATGTGTTTCTATAGATCTATCTATCTCCTGCCTCAGCAGCCAAGTATAGTAATGCGAAAGGCAGGGATTCATTGTTTGCTCATGGAAATAGCTCTTGTTTTTCTGATTTTAAAACAATGCATTCTTGCCATATAAAAATATTAAAAATATACAAAGAAAGTAAGTGAGCCTAAATACACATAGATAAGGCACTGTTAACATTTTGATGAACATCCTTTCACGTGACAGTGTTTTTATGGATTTAGAGATAGCTCTAGCATTTTTGTTGATGTTGTTAAAGCTTAGCAATATATTCTGAACATATTTTAATGATAATACAGCATTACATTTGAAAACTGGTGGCTAACTGGTATTCCATAGCATCAGTATACCATAACTTATTTATTTAATGAAGACACCTAGGTGTCTTAATGAGCCAAGTATTATTTTGGCCATAGCTAAAAAATATTTCTTCACATAATTGAAAGACAAATGATTTCAATTTTGTGTGAGTATATAATATGTACGTATATAAAAATAAATTATAAATAAAATGTATTAAAATATATATTTTAGAATAAGAGGCCCAACTCTAATTTTGCTTCCAAAATGGTCATCCAGTTGGGATTTATTTTTTAAAGCTTGGTTGGAGAAGTAGAGGAATAAAGGGCTGGAGAAAATACAGACTAAAAGGCAGGACTGGGTTCTCTTTCTTAGTCTCCTTCCCCAGCATCCTTTCTCCATAGGAGGAGGAATAAGGGAAACCAGGGTGGCTTTAGGCATTACATTTCCAGGAATGTTGGCAGAAGCTAGAAGCAATATTGGGATAATACCTCAAAACTTGGAACCCAGCTTAGCTTTAAAGGGAACGATAAACAGGATGATGTTATGAGGTAGCTCAGGTAATAGGGTTTCCACTTCCCTCGGAAGCTGCCCTTCTCCATAGTGAGATCATGCCCATTGGAGCCTTCTTGTCCTTCATTTCTCCCTACAATGATATAACATTAATGCCAGTACTGACTCTCTGTGGTGGTGAGCAGCACTCGGTGCTTCTAGCCTAAAACCCCTCGAGAATAGGTACTGACCAACTCATCTAAATGTCCCCTGCACTCACATGGTCCCTGCCACATAGCTGGCACTCAGAGGGCTTTTGCTGGAACAAAGGGAAATGCACCTAGGGTAATTATGTGGATTTTGGGGGGGGTCTGCAATGGAGATTAATCACCACTAGGTGTCATAATGAGTCAAGCAAAATTTGGGCTCTTAGCTAAAAATTGTGCTTTCACTGTGTTCATTTTTATGCATGCGTGCATTCACTTTTCCAGCAACCATGTGTTGAGTGTCTGCTGCATGCCAGGCACTGTGCTGGGTATCCAAAATCATGCTCTCACTGAGCTTCTGGACCTGGTTGGCAAGAAAACCACAGCAGGTGTGAAGACGGGGGCAAAAGCCCTATGAAGACATACAGGACAAACACCTGATTATGGTTGAGTGAAATGAGTGGCTTCTGAGAGAGGTGCCTTTGAAAATGAGTCTTGAAGGATAAGGTCAGGTAAGAAGTTTGATTCATTATTTCAAAAACACTTTCTCTTGGGGAAGTCAGGGCAGAAGAGTGACCTAAAAGCTGGTTCAGGTTTTATTCTTGTTGAGGGCTGAGCTTTTAAACCTGTTTTTGACAGAGGTTTTGACAGAGATCGCTTCTAGTTTCTTTTTTCCTGTCTGGATGTATGTTGCAGTTCAAAGTTTAGACTTTTAAGTTTTCATACTATCAGTAAGACTACCTTGAAGTTCCCTTTATTGGGCCCTGGCTCAGGTTAGAACCTGGTGGTCAGTGCTGGGCTAGGCCAGAATCCTGGTCAGGGGCCAATACCAGGTAACCTGCAGTGGGATTTACCCAGGGGCCTGGTCCTGCTGGAGATCAACACTGTGATGGATGCAGAGGGTGCTTGGTAACACTGAGGGCCTGAGGCTTGGGCCTGAACCCCAAAGCAGTCAGGTTCACTCCTGGGGAGACAGATCCCATGGGTCTCCTCAGACCCACCTTCCTCCAGGTGGATCTCAAGCCTCCTGAGGCAGCGCCTTCTCAGCGGCCCACATGTCTGTGATGGGGTATAGCTCAGTCTACTGGCGAGACCCATCTACCTTAACTAGGTGGAGGCTGAGCCCTTTGCAATGGAGGGAGCCTGCTTTTGTTCCATGCCCTGCAACTCCACACAGGGTTCCTGCAGGCAGAGCCTTTGACCAGAGCCCTGACAGCTCCAAAGCTAGACGATTCCCAACAAGATGGTCACCAGGCTCTGTGTGAACCTTCTCAGTAACAGGGAACTTGCCAAGACAGCCCATTCTAGCCAATACACATGGTTCTTTTTTTAAAATTGTGGTAAGATATACATAACATAAAATTTACTATTTAAAAAAATGTTTATTTATTTTGAGAGGGAGTGAGGGGCAGAAATAGGAGGAGAGAGAGAGAATCTTGAGCAGGCTCCATGCTGTCAGCACAAGGCTGACTTGGGGCTTGAACTCACAAACCATGAGATCATGACCTGAGCCAAAGTCAAGAGTCAGACACTTAACCGACTGAGCCACCCAGGCACCCCTAAAATATACTATTTTTTAAGTGCACAGTTTAGTGGCATTAAGTACATTCTCATTGTTGTGCAAGCATCCCCACCATCCATCTCCAGAACTTTTTTGTTTTCCCAAATTAGAACTCTGTGTCCATTAACCACTACCTCCCCCAGCCCCTCCACGTAGCTCCTGGTAACCACCATTCTGCTTCGTGTCTCTATGCGTTTGACTCTTCTAGTACCCCGTGTAAGTAGAATCCTACAGAGTTTTGTTCTTTTGTGCCTGGCTTATTTCACTTAGCGTAATGTCCTCAAGGTTCATCCATGTTGTAGCATGTGACAGGATTTCCTTACTTTTTAAGATTGAATAATATTTCACTGTACATATAGACCACATTTTCTGTATCCAGTCATTTGTCAATAGGTACTTGGGTTGCTTTCATGTTTGGCTGCTGGGAATAATGCTGTCACGAACATTATCTGTTTGGGTCTCTGTTTTCAATTCTTTTGGATAGATACCCAGAAGTAGAATTGCTGGATTACATTGTAATGTCTAATTTTCTGAAGAAATGCCATACCATTTTCCACAATGGTTGTACCATTTTACATCTCCATCAGCAAGAAACAAGGATTACATTTTCTTCATATCTTCACCAACACTTGTCATATTCAGTTTTACACATGGTTCTTTTAATTGAGCCAAGATCCAATTCCCTCCAACTTCTCCTACTATTGTTCCAGGTTGTGAACTACCTGGGCTAAATCTGGTCTTCATTCTACAAGAAAGCCATTTGTGTGTTACTGGAAAGTGCTCCAGATGGTCTGTGTTCCTGGAAGGTCCCTCAGGACTGGGGACAGATAGCCCAATGTAATCTGATCCTCACAGAGTGATAGAGCAGGGACCACAGCTTCCTTTGTCCTGGGCACTTTGCTTATGTTTCTGCAAGGCTTGCATTTGTTTTGCCAATAGTCTGGCACGTGCTGGTTTATATGGAGCTGTATCAATTAAGATATCCAGGCTTTTTGAACAGGAGCTGTTGTTAGACCAGGTAACTCCCAACTCACCTCATACGATTTGATTCCTTTTACTTTATTAAGCAGTATTTGACGTGTACAGAAGTATATTTGACGTGTACAGAAGTATTCATGTAAATTATGAGGCATAGTGACTAAATGCTCATGAACTTGCCATCAATATAAGAACTAGAATATTACTAATATATTTGAAACTACCATGTGCTTCTCCCTAGTCCTATATCCATCTCGCTCCTAGAGGTAACCACTCCTCTGGATATTTTTTTCATTATTTTGCTCATTAAAATTTTTTTTAAAAATTTTTATTCATTTTTAAGAGAGGGGGAGGGGTAGAGAGAGATGGAGACACAGAATCTGAAGCAGGCTCCAGGCTCTGGGGTGTCAGCACAGAGCCCAATGCGGGGCTCGAACCCACAAACCACAGGATCATGACCTGAGCCAAAGTTGGACACTTGACTGAGCCACCCAGGTGCCTCTATTTTGCTCATTTATTTATTTATTTATTTATTTAAAATTTTTTTCAACATTTATTTATTTTTGGACAGAGAGAGACAGAGCATGAACGGGGGAGGGGCAGAGAGAGAGGGAGACACAGAATCGGAAACAGGCTCCAGGCTCTGAGCCATCAGCCCAGAGCCTGATGCGGGGCTCGAACTCCCGGACCGCGAGATCGTGACCTGGCTGAAGTCGGACGCTTAACCAACTGCGCCACCCAGGCGCCCCACTATTTTGCTCATTTAAAAATAGCTTCCTCTATGTCTATATGTATAGCTAAATTACATGTCAGTCATTTTATTGTTTTTTTTAAAATTTTTATTTTATTTTTTTCAATATATGAAATTTATTGTCAAATTGGTTTCCATACAACACCCAGTGCTCATCCCAAAAGGTGCCCTCCTCAATACCCATCACCCACCCTCCCCTCCCTCCCACCCCCCATCAACCCTCAGTTTGTTCTCAGTTTTTAACAGTCTCTTATGCTTTGGCTCTCTCCCACTCTAACCTCTTTGGTTTTTAAGCTTTATAAGTATGTTGTCTTTTGCAGCTTCTTTACCCACTCAACTTTATGTTTCTAAGGTTCAGCCATGTAATTGTGTGTGGCTAGAATTCACTCATTTTTACTGCAATGTCCTATTCCTTTGTATGTTTCTACCACATTTTGCTTACTTATCCTTTTTTATAGATGAGCATGTGGGTTATTTCTAGTTTGGGGCTGTTGCAAACAGTGCTGCAGCTCGATACTCATTTATTGCTTCTGAACTCCAAATCAAGCTTCTCTGCCCTGCTTTGTGATGCTGGAGCCGGACCCTGTAAACATTTTGTTGTTGTTGTTATATTTGTCACTAGGAGGTTCTGGAAAGACATTGCAGAAGGAAAGCGCTTCTCCTCTTGCTTGGTTGCAGGTGTTTCCCCTTTCTGGCTCCTATGGCATGGTTGCCAGTGGTATGTGTGACACGCAGGGGCTTTCACCTTCCACTGAGATTTGCTAATACCCTGGAGAGGCTCCCTGATCACCAGTCTGGGCCCTGGGTACAGACCAGAGGTGGCTCAGAAAACCCCATGAACACCCTCTCCCTGAGGTCTGAGTCTCAGCCAAGTTGGCTGAGACTTCCTTGGAGCTCCCCCTTAGCCCTACAGTATTTCTTAGAGCTCTTTTATCTCCTCTCAGTAGTGAATCTCTTGTTACTACTTAGTACACTTCTATGTTACATTTTTTCCTGTTCAAATTACTGGTGTGATTTCGGCCTCCTGTATGCACCCTGACTGGTGCAGTTCATACCTAGGTCCTTTGGTGCCCTGTTGATTAGGCAGGACTGAGGAACTGAAACTGCAGCTGGAGGTGGTGGCTGCGGTGGCCCCAGTGTACATGGTGTCAGACTGGCTCGTCTCACTGTCTCTGTGCCCTTGGAGCTGGTGGCTGGCACATCAGGCTGGCTTTGAGCTCCAAAGTTCTCAAGAGATACATTTTTACTGTTTTTTTTTTTTAAAGCCTCGGTCATTATTGCAAAATGATCCCCCCAAAAGTGATCATTTTTGAATTTTGAACTTTTAAAAATAGCTTCATCTGTAGCTAATATCTGAGAGTCACAGCTCACTGGATTTTGATCAATTGGTTGAATTCAGGAAGCATCGGCAAGGGTGGCCCTGTCATGCTCAGGTTCCATCATCTTTTGAATGCTGCTCTACTCAGTCTCACTGCCTGACACAGTAAGGAGAAGAGAGGACTCCAAAACAAACTTTTCTTATAGGAAGTCCAGGGAGATGATGTTCTAGACAGAAATTTCCTCTCACTTTGCTTAGAGTAGTGGAACTCTGATGTTACCAGCTGCTCTTGAAATCTTTTTTCATCCAGAATTTTTGTTCCTTGTCAGCTTAAGTACCTGAGCAGCTTACATGGAGTCCAAAATCCGTTAAAAATTATCTCTAGCACCAGGCTTTGAGGTCTGACAGACCTGAATTTGTATCCCAGCTCTGTCATTTACACCTGAACTGGTTGCTTTGCCCTCTGAGCTCTCATTTGCCCAGAGCAGGGATAATAACAGGGCAGACTTTCTAGATAAGGGTGAGCATACAAGACAATGAATGTAAAATGCTTGCAGGGCCTGGTGTCTGACTTAAGCACTGGTTTGACTACAGAGGTGTTGGGGGTGGGGGTGGGTGGGTAGGTGTTGAGTACCCAGTGTCCAGCATCCAGGAACAGAATTTGACTGGTTGGGAAATCATGCTTATAGGTATATTTCTGTTAATGAATTCTTTTTACATTAACATTTTCATTGAAAAAGAAAAGAAGAAAGAAGAACTTCTTAACCTAGGCGCGTGTCCAGATTTGTTAAAAGTGGACAGTAAGGTCATTTTATTGTTCACTCTACTTTTCCATATGTTTTGAAAATAATATTTTGAAATAATAGAGTACAAATTATCTGCCTCAAACAAAAGAAAAATTCAT